AGTTTTTTAAATACTGCCACTGCTTCGTTGGTCACGTAGTCACATGATAATTGATGATTTTATATTATGATAATTTGTCGGTCGGGGTGGCCCGGGGTCCGAGCTTTCTAAGATTATTTAGACTAACGGCGAAGGAAAAACCTTGTGAGGAATCCTGGGCTTATATTTTTCTAATTATTATTAATAATATTATAAATTTGGCCCGCATTGAACAAGCGTGGCGATCAATGCTCAAACCTCGTCGTGTGAGAAGAGAATTTGGTCAGCAGCGGTCTAATATGATAATTCAATAGTCTCCTCTTCTCATAACACAACTGGTGATAGTTGGTACTGCATTGTATACATATGTGCATTATATGAAGTCAATTTCCAGACTTGTTTTACCTTATAATAGTGTCAGACGTTATCGACTATAGTTCAACAAAACTTCGAAGTTAATAGCTTACAGATAATTGTGGGAGAAACGGCATGAGTTCTGAAACTTAGTTTTAGCGCAAATTGTGTGTCTTTTCCGCTGTTAGAAACTGACGTATTTAGCAGTAAAGTGGCTTTCTCGTTGGTCTAATTTGCAAAAGCAACTATGTATGAGTACATAAGCGTGCGATTTTAAGGACAAATAAAGTATAATAAAAGTAATAGTCGGCATTACTTACATAACATAACATCACGCCTTTTTATCCCCGAAGGGGTAGGCAGAGGTGTACATTACGGCACTTAATGCCACTGTACAATGTAACACCCACTTTTCACTATTTATGTAAAGAGTCCCATGTAATAGGGGGTGAGCCATATACCGGGCACATTTTCCAGACTCCGTGATACTACTGAGATTTTTAAAAACCCAGTAATACTTTGGCCGACCCGGGCATCGAACCCGAGACCCCTTGCCCGGCAGTCACACTTGCGACCACTCGGCCAACGAGGCAGTTATTAACGAGGCATTACTTCATAGCAATTTTATTCTATATTATTTTTAGGCTAACAGAATAGGGTAGATAACTAATTACTATTTTAATGCCCGTCTGGTAGATTATTTAAATACATTAGACACTTATTTTAATTTTTGTACGGAAACGAATACTTTTGAAGATATATTGATTAAAAATGTCGCGGGACGTCACTTCTATGTACATTTAATACGCAGAAATGACATTTTAGCCCCCACTCCTAAACTTTGATTCGTTATAATATCTGAGTATCATTTTATTATATAAAACAATACGTGTCTTATATTTTTTCATTACCTAACTGACGAAATAATTACATTTTTAATTTTCATACCCTGTCATCATCCTTATTGTGTCGTAAATTGTTTTATGTTTATCGTTGTCTGATTGGTGACTTGTTCGTCCGCGAGTCACTTCGTCGTCGGGGCCAGTAGAATACCAGCGCAAGGCCCTGTCTTGCACATGCTGAACTGGTCCCATTTCACCGCAGACTTGGGACCTGTGCTTGGGACATTAGTAGATATATTTTGTAAACTCATTACTTATTAAACTTATGTGTAAAATCTATATGTGTCACCTGTTTTTTAGCGTGTGAAATAAAGTCTTTCTTTCTTTCTTTCTTTCTTTCAAAGGATATCATGTGAGCAATTTGTCTAACTCCCATAGAGAAAAATGTCGCATAATATTGACATAATTATACGTATAATCTTATTTCATTCTATATCAATAAATATGTACCTACCCTACATACTAACATGTATTAAAATAACACCGACTTAAGTTAGGCGCGTGCTAACGTTCAAGCACCATGGCAATATGCAAGCATAGGAATCCATGATGATTCTATTTTTGAACGGTTCCCCTCGCCATCGGCGCGGGCGCACTCCTCGGGGAGACTTTTGGGTTTAATGTACTAATAAGTGTAATGGAATGGTAGGTAGAAATAAATGTATCGTGGATTAAGTAGGTAAGTCAAGAGACAGTAAGAAAGTAAATGTAAGCGTCGCACGCGCTGCTCATGAATAAGAGTTCTGGGTTTACATAAAAGTAATAGAGCTGGGTAAAGAGTATGTTTTACTATGATATTTTTTTGTTTATTGTTTATTTATTAGAACTGTACTTGATGTATAAAAAATATTATCTAGGTATGTTATCATTTGTTCTTCTAATATAGAAAGGAAATAAGCTTGGGAAATTACTTGAAAAGTTCTAGACTCATTTTCTAACGATAAAAATTACATATTTAATCCCAAAGTAAGCAATTGGAATTCAATCTTATAAGAAAGCAAAGGTATTCGAACTCCTAAAATTTCCTAAGCTGGCAAAGTTTCAGAGTAATTGCTTGACTATACAAGGCAGCTTACGACCAGTTTCCGCTATTACAGTTAGCACGTATGTGTACACAAATCTCTAAAACAATCCCTGCCGTACATTAAACCAACGGTACGTGACCGCAGCGCCCTCTACCCAACGTCTAATAAAAAACGTAAACTAATCAGAACAACATCACGAATGCCGAAGGAAACGCAATATTATTGTTATTAAACAAAGTATTGGTTTACGTTTTAATTGTAATTAAAACAATGTATGATTGCTTAGTAAATAGTCTTAGATTACTTGAATTTTAAGAAGGTGCCAACATTGAAGATGTGTAAGTACTTTATCCCATAGCAAGTTGTTATTAATTTATTAACCGACTTATTAAAGGAGGTTCTCAGTGTCACCTGTATGTTTGTATGTTTTTAAGGTTTCAGTATATGTAAATTATTTAAAAAAGAAGAGGTTTCCTTAAACTTATTTATAAAAGAATTATTTGAGGTAATTTTTTATTGAGCGCTGAATTTTCATACAATAATTAATGGTTGGACTGCTTCGTTGGCCGAGTGGTCGCAAGTGCGACTGCCGTGGGTCTTAGGTACGACAAAGTATTACTGGGTTTTTTAAAAAAAAACTCAATAGTAGCACAGAGCCTGGAACTGCGCCCGTTATATGGCAATAGGTTCATCCTGTCATGTCGTAATGTGCACCTCAGCCTACCCCTTCGAGAATAAAAGGCGTGTGGTGTTATGTATGTAATGTAATGATTACATTACATTAGTAAATGAATGATTTGAATTTTGTGCTATTCAATTATTTTATTTGTAAGACTACTTAGTACTTAGGTATGTGATTATAAACCTGGGTTGTATATCCAAGATTTAATACCTAATATATTTTATGTTTGTTTAGTAGCTGCGACTATCGCTTTTTGGGAAAAAAACATTAAAAATGAAAAAAAAATGTCTTTTTGTTACAAACCAAATTTTTTATCATATCTCGAAGATACACGTTTTACAATATGGTACGCATAACGTTTAACCTTTCGCCTGCTTCAACGGAGTCTCCCACAAGGTAACACTGGCCAAAACTATTACCATAACCCCCACATCTGTGTCAAATAAATTGTCATCTGATTAACGTGCACGGAAGAGTCATTTTTCAGTGGTATCTGGTTGTTAGTTACGCTTCTTTGGTTTATAAACAGTTGCTTTCTGGACCCACGTGGTGTAACATATGTTTGGACCATCCAATCGAATCCCAAGTCGAGCCGGGAGACGTGATAAAATAATTTACAGAAAATTTGTCTTTTCCTAAATTGATTTTAGATTCCAGCGACGGCTTAAAAGCTAATATCAATTTAGTGGCGTATAAGGTCCCTACGTCAATCGTAACTTTTGGAAAAAGGTCAGAAGCCAGAGATTATTTTATAATTATTTTCTTTTTTGCAAAACTTTTTGCTTAAAGGTCACATTTCGTATTGAAATTGAATTGTATGTTCTTATAATGTTGCTAAAGTATAAGAGATATTTCTCTGAAAAACTTGTTTATTATATTACGTTTATGGAGTTTATGAAACAAATGAAAATTTGATTTGGTAATAAATAAACACAACACATATGTAATAATGAGAAATAATTCAGAAGTATTTAAGTTTTAACCCAGTATGGATAAAAATAGTCATCATCTTTGCCTATATTGCTTCAAAAGATGTGATGATGTTTGAATATATGATGTATGAAATACTTTCAGCAATCCCACGTGTTTAACTTAACCTAAGTACTTAAAAATAACAGAATATTAAATGACTCATTAGGTAAGTATAAGTGTAACAAAAAGTTAATTATTACAAAACAAAATTCACTCCAATACGACAAGAGTCAATGAATCAGAAATTCTCATGAATTCAGAGTAGCGGCGCAGGCGCATACACGTGTTGCGCACATTTTGTGGGACCTCCCCGCTACCCTCGCACACGTATCACCACCCCCGCTAAGGGAACCGCTGAAAAAATGGACCACAAGACATCTCACAAAGTTCTGATCCTTAATTGCAACGACTTAAAGAGTATATTTCTTCAACATCTGTCTATTAAGTAACGGTATCCAAGGGACACATATTTTTTCTTCATATGATCGTGGAGGTCATTGACCTCGTTATATGACACACATTTTGTCATTATAATTTTCGTTAAAGTGTCTTTAAGACTAGTAGTTGTCATTATTTTGTTTTACCTAAGACAAGTAAAGGTATAGGTACAATCTAAACCGATCCGTCTTAGAATCTATATAAATAAAAATCAATTTCCGTTCGTTAGTCTCTTTAAACTCAAGAACGGCTGAACCGATTTGGGTAATTTTGGTATTGAAATGTTCATGGGAGTCCAGGGAAGGTTTATAAGGTGAGAAAAAACATTTATAGGCGGTACGAAGTTTGCCGGGCCAACTAGTCCACAATATAATTGGTCAGTGACATATGACTATCTTGTATTGGAGAAAAAATATGAAACAATTGAATTAATAAAAAAATTGAACTTAATCTAACCGGAGAATTTTTATCTGATTCACGTACTGATAGTCAATTGACGTACTATTTTTCATCTTAAAACGAACTAAAAGTATGATTATTTTATCATCACTATCAAAAAAGTTGACATTATCAAACTGAACCATTGTCTTTATCTAATCAAGATTATTTTTCTCTCCCTGTGATCCTTTTTATCCAGTTCTAGTTTTGCAGTGGTATAGAAACCATGTTAAAAATTTTGACTCTTTGTGCTATCCTAGCGCTGGCTTTAGGTCAGCAAGGACCTTCAGTAGAACTAGATGGTCAAGGCACGGTGATAGGTTCATTGTCAACTGAAGGAAATTACTTCGAGTTCCACGGTATACCATACGCGGACGCAACGTCGGGTATCAACCGATTCAAGGTAGGTACAAATACACGACTCTTATTATTGCAACCTATAGAATTGCATTTACCGTCTTATGTGCCGCAAAATTTGCTGTAAAATTATGAGGTACAATTTATATTTTAATATTTCAATTTTTTCGCCATAAAGCCTTTATTAGATCGCATATGCTACATAGCAGTATTACATTACTGAATGAGACCAAATACGAACTCAAATAGGGCAAATTGATGTAGTTTTAGCGGTAGTTTTTTTACATACATTTTATTATTGATACAATTATGTTTACTTACAGGCACCACTACCGCCACCTTCATTCCAAACCCCATTAACTGCAAACCGAAAAGACATAAAATGTGTTCGAGCTTTAGGTGTTGGATATGAAGGCACCGAAGATTGCCTGGTAGTTGACATTTATACTCCAACTATAGATAATAATAAGAAACTGCCTGTTATGGTATGGGTTAAAGGAAAAGAATTCGACCGAATTAATAATCCAGAACTATCTTTCCGCAATTTTATTGAAAAGGAGGTTGTTGTAGTATCATTGAATTACCGTGAATCTGTTTTAGGATTCCTATGTCTTGGTACTGAAACCGCACCCGGTAATGCTGGATTAAAAGATATTATTGCAGGATTGAAATGGATCCAGAAAAATATTGCAAGGTTTGGAGGTGATCCAGGCTCAGTTACCATCGTTGGCCATGGAAGTGGTGGAGCTGCCGTTGATTTAGTCACAATGTCTCCAATGGGCAATGGTTTGGTACATAAAGTAATCGCTCAAAGTGGTAACGCATTTTCTCCTTGGGCTGTATCTCGTGATAACTTGAAACATGCCATCGATGTAGCTGAAGGTCTTGGTCATACAATAACCAATATTGAACAGTTATCTGAGGTTTTCACCAGAACTAGTGTCGGAGCTTTGATGGCTGTTATCAATGAACTTGACTTAACTGATAACTCTTTAGCCTTTGCTCCTTGTGTGGAACGTAAAGAATTGGAAGGAGTAGAACCCTTTCTTATAAAAACTCCTGCTGAAGTTGTACATAACAACGAATTTTTAGATATCCCTACCATTATTGGATTTGTAGATTACGAAGGTACTATTCGATCAAAAGAAGCAATAGGTAACGATTGGCTAAACCGAATGGATGAATCGTTCAGTGAATTTATACAGCCCGATCTAAAAATTGAAGATGACCAAGTATCAGTAGCGGATGAAATTAAAAGGTATTATTTCGGGTCAACTACACCCAATTTATATGAACCGTACCTGAGATATCATGGTGATACAATGATTCTCATATCTTCTTTAAGAGAAGTTAGAAATCGAGTATTTGCCACTGAATCACAACAGACCTATTTATATCAGTTTTCATATAAAGGAACTCTCGGAGCAGCATTTATTGGACCCATTAACGTTGATTCAGCACCACACGGTGTAGAAGTGGCTTACTTGTTCAATGGAGGTTCTGAAGCAAATGACCTAGATCGTTTGATTACCAATATCCTCGTTGACAGATGGACTAACTTTGCTAAGAATGGGTAAGTTTATACAAAATTTTCTAAATACACTTACATATTATAAACTATATTTTTGCCAAGTTTTTTACGTGTGAAATTAAAGTCGTTTATTGTAATAGGTTCCGGAATAGGCTGCAGGAATATTCCCAACTAGCTTCTGCCCGCGACTTCGTCCGCGTGGAATAGTGACTGCCAGTTCTTTCGAGATTTTTGGGTTAAAAACCATTCTATGTCCTTTCTCGAGTTCTAAACTGTCTGTACCAAAATTTCATCCAAATCGGTTCAGTAGTTTAGGCGCGAAGGAAAGACAAACACACAGATAGACAGACAGAGTTACTTTCGCATTTATAAAATTAGTTAGGATTAGGAAATATTAATTAGGATTTAAGTAGGTATCTATTTAATTTAAACCTTATCTATAAACAATGTTTGAGGTTGTTTTATTTTCTGGTAACAAAATTATCTGGTTTTCGGATGATCCCACTCTTGATAGACCAACATATAATTGCCCATGGGAGAATCATTCTTTTCGTAGGTCAATGCCAACCAAAGAGAATGTTTGTCCCTGGGACTTGTTAATAGTCAAGGCAAAAGATGTTTTTATGGGAAACTGGAGTTGTTTAAACGGTATGGGTAGGTCCGTCGGAATCATTGGAATTCTAAAAGATAAAATAGAAATGATAGAGATATGGTATCGCGGACTTTTTGTAGAAATAATTAAGACGAACCAGGAGACCTACATAGTTTTTAATTTTAAGCAACTGTTTAGGTAGCGCATGCTTAATAAACATAATACCGGCCTTATCCCTGCGCCCCTCCCGCCCCGCCTTGGCAATAGTGTACTCACTTCGAAACGGGCCGTACAGAAAAAATCGTAATATGTATTTTAATTTCGCCATAACTTCAAAACCAAACATCCGATTTTAATCATTTAAAGACCGAGTATTATCTACATAAACTGTACTTAGTGATGAAATAAAATATTTTGATAAGGATTAATAGCATGAGTGAAATAAATGTATTGAAATGTAGTCCAAAAAAAAAAATTCAAGATTTTTTCTTAAAAAATGCTAGTTGTGCCTTACTGGACCTAGATAGGTATAGTGTGTCGCGGACTTTTTTGTAGATATTTATAAGATCTACAATTAATTAGAACATTTTATGGTTCTATCTTTTATAGTTTAGGCAGCGCACGCAAATAATTCTTTTTTATGAGGATTTTTTTTCCGACTTGCTAGGCAAAACTTGTGATAGCTCGGTAAATATACATGTTATAGAAACAATTTATAGCCTATAGCACTCAGGAATAATGCAGCTTTCTGCTGGTAAAAAAATTTTTAGAATTGGATTATTACTTCCAGAGATTACCCCTTGCATACAAACTTACAAATTTTACCTCTTTATAATATCAGTATACCTCGTATAGATATTCCTAAATCAAATATTCTAATAGCTTTTCTTACGATTCATATCTTTTAAGCGAGCATAGGTATTCCCTCCGATTTACGATTTTTCTCAATCCATTCACATAATCATACCTAGCTTATCCGTTCTTTGGTGACGATGAATGTGTATTTCATATGGTGCTTGTAGTGTAAAGCAATGCTATTTTACATTATTCTTTAAATTTCAAGAACAACGAAAAAGATAATAAACTTCATAAAATTACAATGATCATTAAGTTAATACTTAGTAAGAGTTCGAATAAATGTATTATAATATTTCCTTAATAACAATGCAGTCGTCTCATTGGTTATGTATTTCTTCTTAATTTTGTTGTAGTTATTTTGAGACATTAAGTTATTTGTTGTTCACTAAATTATTCAAAATCCTAAAGTTTATTTAGATTACTAAAACGTTGTAAACAAAAATAAAATGTATTTTGTGAATTTTATGTAACAATTTCGCGTGTACACAAAAATGCTCTCTGAAATATGTCGTTGTAGGCACTTAATGTCATAACTACATAAACTTATATTAAGTATGTAATTTTTGTTGCAGTATCCCTTCTACTGAGCATTCTAATGTAGTATGGCAGCATTATGCTCGACTCAATCCCCATTTCCTGCGTATAGGAACTGTAGACGAAATAGATGGTGAGCGTCAAGGACCTGTAGAAGTAGCGTTAAGGAATCCACATCCACAAACAGCTTCATTTTGGGAACGTATTTACACATCGCATTTCTTAGATGCACAAAGCAATTGGGAAATTATTGACAGGAATGAAGATACTCCTACAACAACCCTGAGCCCAGGTGGTATCGATGTGTGTGATGGGGACGGGGATGACTGTGGTACTGACAATGGCAGTGGTAATGACAATGGCAGTGGTGATGGTAACGATGACTGTGAAGGTGATGACTGCGATGACGGTAATTCAGCCTCAACTGCTGTTGGCTACACTTTCTTAATAATCAGTCTATTTTCAATTTTGAACCATTTCCATTCCTCTCAGATTTTGTCATAGAAACAATTCAATAGATCTAATTCTATTGTTTTTGTTTTCTCAACATACTGTTTATGCATTGACGTCTATGTATGTGTTAAGGCTATGGTCTTGTCCATTTATTTTGAAGACACTAAAATATGAACAAAGCATAAGGCTCCAATTTTATTCTTACCTTTCATTTCTTATAAAAATTAACCAATGTGTTACAGTTTTAAGTAGGTGTAAGTATTTCACAACCTTCTTTGGATTTTGCATTGAAATTCATTCGAAGAACGCTATGTACAGTTTACCTTCTTCTTTTTCTTGTAGTATTAATGTATTGTTAATCAGTTTAAGATAAGTTGGTATTATATCTTAGTAGATGGTTATTTGTTTTAAGATATATTACTGCACTATGGAGTGTAATTTTAATAATATTCTGTTTTAATAACAATTAGAAAACTACCAAGGATACTAATTAGCTAAAACTTGTGTCATTTCTGTATGAATTTTGAACTACACTTTTTTCTTACTGAGTCATTAGATTTTGAACAGACATTTTAATCAACTTTATAATATGAATGCAACCGATTTTTAATGTAATCAAGTTCAATCAGTTTGATTGAGTAGTGGTAGCTGCATCGATGTTATTTCATAAACTTTTAATTTAATATCATCCTTACGTCTACGAAATACAATTACAAATTCATTGCCTCAATAGTTATTTGGAAAGTTGTTAAATTGTTCTGTTTTTTTACTAAGCACATTATGTACCAAATGAACTTTGCTATCATACGTTTGTATGAAAGTTAAGGTTCTGCTTTAAAATAGTTAAGTATTTTATTTTTAATTTTGTAAATACAATAAAAAACCTAAAAACAAGTATTGTGCGATTTTATTTTAGCCTCGAAAGATAACATTTTAGGAGGAGATGCTGTTATCGACTTTGAAATGTTCATGACAGAAGATTAGAATGTCAAATCAATTGATTATACTGATATTTGATACTTATTAAACATTCGGAACAATGGTTAAGGTCATCTCGAATGCTAGAATGTTCTAATAAAGTAATTCTAAATTAATTTATTATAATTTTGAAATGCAATGCTACATGGAAATGAGTTGTGAATTTTTTGACATTAATAAATAGAAATGGATGTCAATTTCGATAATGATTCATCTCACATGGGACTATACTATAACACACAGAATTCTAGGATTTCAGGAGTCCACGGGCGGTCCCAATTGCTTACCATCGGGTAATTATGGCTATAAAAATCCAGGTAGGTACTAGGGCAGCAGAAGTTGCGTGACAGTACAAAAGTTCACAGGTCATTTTCTTGGTTAGATTCTGCAGTTTACACGTGGGTTGATAATGTCACTCGGACTATTTTAGCGACGTACAGCGGTCATATCTTTAAAAGCCAGTTTGAAGTGCATTGTACCTACACGTGGATGACGTATTCAAAGATATTGTTTGCGAAGTACAATTGTTAAAGTTAAATTGTTCGTTGCCGTGTGTACCACTACGTTTACTATTCCCGCTGATGTCTAAGAGCTATCACATACAGTAACGGCACGCAAACGGCTCGGTTCCGACACTGCGTTTTTTGATTCTGAAACAATACAAAAAATGTTCTAAGCGCGCTATCAGCGCACGGGCGGTGTGCTTACAGCTTTATTGTATTGACGCTGAAATATGTCATATGATATAAGATCTAATGTATTACTCGGTTGGAGTCGGGTTGGAGCGGTGCCGGTAAAGTGTAATATGACTTTAAGACTGTAGAATTTGATAAACCTGAACATTTTAAACGGCAAGTTCTATCCTACGTTGGATGTAGCAATATGTGGCGGTTTTATGAGGAGTAGGTCCATGGTCTAATATACAACAATTATGAAATGAAAGGAAATATTTTTTTCGAGATTAGTAAATTGGCATAGAACTGTTGTCAGTTAGTATTTACTCCGTGCTATAAGTCAAATCACCTAATTTATAATTGCACACAATGAGCACCATGAGCACAATGAGCACCAAAGCAATCCTTCAGCTGTAGCCAAATGCCATTTAGCGCTTGTCTACTTGTAGAGTAGAAAACTAAATTATATGGAATTGACGTAAATTTTGACACTTTTCAGTGTCATTCCCATAATTATATAATTAGTTTTCTACTCTCTTGGTAGACAAGAGCTAAAGTGGCGTTTGGCTAAAGGCACTTATTACAATCGGAACTAAAATCGTAAAGTTATTAATATGATAACGAGCTACTTGAAACTTGGATTGTTTTATTTTAAATGCGAGTTAAGTTTGTTTATCAGTTGGGGCAGGCTATAAAGTGCAGATTTGCAGGCCTGGGCCAGTCCACATGTGTGCTTAATACAATGTATAAACAATATTAAAATTTATTATAATCATGATTTTTGGGCTGTATAATAAAGTCAAAAGTATTCAATTGCTGTTAGTGATATTGGATTTTCAACTTTATTTGGTACTCTTATTAGTTAAAATGTTGTTTTAGACAGTGATTGGCAATGAATCCGATCTCTTAGTAGATAATCTATTGGGTTTTTGATTCTAGATAGTATTTTTTGTAGTAATTTTTAGCAGGAACTTTAGGTGCACAGATCGGTCCACCCTTACACTCTTAAGATTATGTTGTAATTATTAAATATACATTTCACAACAAGTTTTTTTTTACTCATTAGATTTACCACATACATAGGTACTATAGAATTAGGGTATGAAAATATAAGTCTGTAAGTTAGGTAATTAAAAATATTAGACACGTATTTTTTTATTTAGTCGTATAATAAAACAATATTTATATAAAACGAATCAAAGTTTAGGCGTGGGGACTATAACGTCATTTCTACGTACAAAACGTACATAGAAGTGACGTCACGCGCCATTCCAAATCAATATATCGCCGAAAGTATTCGTTTCTGTAAGAAAGTAAAAAATACGTGTCTAATGATTTAATAATCTACCAGACGGACCTTAAAATAAAAATTAGGCATCTACCCTATTATGAATAATGCTGAAATAATTGTATATAATATGTGCGGATCTGAATCACTGGAACAACAGTGCGGTACTCGTCACTCGGTAACCTGAACAAGGTGCGTCGGATGTGGAACCACATGGCCCGCAAGAGACGGCTGCGGCACGACCGCTGTTACCATGTTAGAATCGTGTGGAATTACTTTTTGTTTATATTTTAAGTTAATCTGTATTATACTGGCTTTTGTAAGGAGTATTTCTTAAGTTTTGGGAGAAAATACAGCATCTATATCTTATTGCAGACTATCAGGTATGCCCCTGTGCTTTCCTAATTTCATTCAAAACCGTTTAATAGTTTTTGTATGAAAGGATAACAAAAGTATATCAACGAATCATGGACTTTCATATTAATAGTAAAGAAATATAATAGTAGGAAGGACAAGCACTATGCACAATTGATATGCTTTTTTTTATGGCATGAGCCGGTAAACGAGCAGACGGATCACCTGACGGTAAGCAATCGGCGACGCCCATGGACACCTGGAACACCAAAGGCGTTACAAGTGCGTCACCGGCTTTTTAGGGATTAGGAGTTTGAGGATCGTTGGGGATTCAGGGACTGGGGAGATTGGGGAAGGGGAAGATAATTGGGCCCCCGGTAACCTCACTCACAACAACGCAAGCGTTGCTTCACGTCGGTTTGCTGTGAGGCCGTGGTATCACTCCGGTCGAGCCGGCCCATTCGTGCCGAAGCATGGCTCTCCCACACTTATGTTATGAGAAAGTAAGTTATTATCATGCATGTTATAATTTGTATTATCAATATTTGTAAAGAATGGCCAGCATTTAGATATGTATGCTAGAAAACAAGAATTGGGTACTTGCCAACTAGACAAATTCAATACCTTCAACGAACTGTCAAAAACGACAGTTTTCTATAAATTTGGACGAGATTGACGAGATTGTGTATTGTGACGTCACGGTTTTTAAGCGTCAAACAGCATACTTATTCCTTAAAAAATTATTGCGAAAATACTAAAATGAATTTGGTCAAAAAATCAATTAATGACAGTGTGATTATATTTTAATATTTTATTGTATTGAACAGTCGAAATAATTTATTTTTGATTAAGGAAAGTACCCAATTAACAGCATAGTTCAAGGTCTTATCCATACTAATGTACACATGAAACAGTGAGCAACATTAAAAATCGTTGGGGCACGTGCGGAACAATTTCAGTAGTATGCAAGAGTGGCCACAACTAATGTCTCAGTCGGTACATATTTATAATGTTTCTTAATATTTTTTTCTTTATAAGCTGGTAAACAAGCTGACGGATCACCTGATGGTAAGAAATCGGCGTTGCTCGTGGACACCCGAAAAAATGCGTTACCAGCCTTTTGTGGATTACGAATTTGAGGATTGTTACGGATTCAGGTATTGGGGAGATTGGGGAGGGGGATAATTGGGCCTCCGGTAACCTCACTCACACGACGAAATACACCGCAAGCGTTGTGTCACGTCCGTTTTCTGTGAGGCCGTGGTTTGGTCAAGCCAGCCCATTCGTGCCGAACCATGGCTCTCCCACACTTTAACTATAAAGCAGTTCAGTTTTAAGTAGACAAATCTATTTAGTTACGCAGACACACAAAATACTTGAAGAAAATATAATATGCTACAGGTAAAGACACATGGTTGTTTAGTTGAAATATTATTATGAATTTAAACTACAATATCTCTGAACTAGGTAGAAAATTACTAACAATAATGTTTTATTTTATGTTTTTATTTGTCATACTCAGTAAGCTTTAGGTCCATCTAATAATCCTAAGAAAATAAGATGAGCTGAAGTCTGCTAGGCGGAAAGTACTATTTATTACATTTTTTTTATTTATTACTATTTATTACAAAAAGCATTAAAAATACACGACTTTAATAAAGAACATATAAACAGTTTTTTTTTAATTAACTAACAATTGTTTGAAACAATTAAACAAAGCATTATCAAGGACATTGACAAAACAATAAAAATCTAAATTTTCTTACGATGTGTTTACGACCTAGTGAAAGTTTACAGTTTGACACCATAGTTCGATTTTACGGCAGTTATAAAACACTTAAGTTACTACCGTACAATGTAACATAAACAATATTTTAACGGATGACTTATAAAGTCGTTAAAAGCAACCATAAATAGATCTATTTTAAAACCTACTTTAGAACCGAATATATTTTCTTCTATTGATTTTTTAGACTCCACTTATTTGTCTTATACATGCTTAGTAACATTATTTCTAAATTAACTCCAACAATATTTGCCTAGTTTCACAGACAGACGAATGGACAATTAAATTTTTGACGATTTAAAAGTGATTAATTGAAACAAATGCTTTGACTTTAACTTTGACAATGACGTCTGTGTCATGCTGTCCTGCTTATGAATATGAGCTCTTATCATGGCTTGAAACTTATCGAGTTACTACGTCAAATAGTTATATATCCTTTTATCTGTTGAAACACCGGCTCCCGGTACTAAACACATTATACCCACAACTTTCAACAAACAAGAGATATCCTCTTGTATGTTAAAAGCCAAAAACTACAAATTTAATATGACCCATGAAAAGTAAAATACAATACACACTTTTATATTATAAAACAATGCAATAATACACCTCTATTTGTAAAAGCATTCAAAATACAATCAACTTTTTGATAACAAAATACGGAACAACGTGTTTGAATTATATTTCCCCATAGTATTTCAACTGTAAGTAGTTATTTTTATCAAACGACAAAAGTTTTGAAGGCTTTACATGAAATTGACATGGGTAATAACTTGGGTGTCAATGCCAAACTATATTTACATGTAGATTCGAT